GGGAGCAGAGCTGCCTGCTGCAGCTGAAAGCCAGACACTTCCCTGGAGCTGGCCCCCCCTCAGAGACATTAATAGAATTGTGTGGCCCCCGCTCCTGCCTGCCAAAACAAACAGGCCCTTCAGTGTACTGGGGAGGGGGAGGGGGACACTAGCTGCACTTCAGCTGGTGGGCTGTGCGCCTGGGCATGCCGGCAGAAAGGAAGAGCAGAGCTGCCTGCTGCAGCTGAAAGCCAGACACTTCCCTGGAGCTGGCCCCCCCTCAGAGACATTAATAGAATTGTGTGGCCCCCGCTCCTGCCTGCCAAAACAAACAGGCCCTTCAGTGTACTGGGGAGGGGGAGGGGGACACTAGCTGCACTTCAGCTGGTGGGCTGTGCGCCTGGGCATGCCGGCAGAAAGGAAGGAGGCACAAGCCCATTGTACAGAGGTGGGGGGAGAGGCACTGTTGGGGTTTGAAGCAAGGGGAATAGGCCCCAGGTGGGGTGGTGCAAGGGGGGACGATTTCTGGCTTTTTGACCTCTGCAGAAGGCAGGGAGTTCCTGACTCACTCCCCACTGCCTCCACTTGCTGCTCCAGACTTAGCCAGCTACAGTGTAGGAAGCTGTTTGTCACAGGCTCATCACGACACAGGTACTACCCCCAGGCACAGCCCTACAGCCTAAACTCCCATTTAGCAAACACGCTCTCCGGCAGGTGCTAGAGGAAGTGTGTACTGAGTGGGACAGGACAACACCCCCAGGCAGAATCCGTTTTACAAGGGAGGCTGAGCCAGTGGCTCACGGTGGCTTCTCTCCCCAGGTCGTCTACTACACCGAGATGCACAAGATCTTTGGAGACCTGACGGGGCAGATCGATGAGCCAGGCCTCACGGATGAGCAGCGGGAGAAGGAGAACGAAGCCAAGCTGAGCGAGCTGCGAGCCCTGTCCATTGTGGCTGACGACTGACCGCTGCTGCTTTCTAATGACATGGGGCACAGGGTAGAAAAAAGCCTGTCTCCTGCAGAGCCCAGGACACTCCCTTTTGCCTGCTGGAGACAAGGTACAACTGCTGGGCGGGGAGGGGGGGCAGGAGTCACCTCCGGCCCCCCAGCCGGTGCTGCTGTCACTCAGGGCTAGCAGAGGCACAAGCCTGGGGGATGCCATAGGATTTTGCTGTTGCTCTAAGGACAAACAGCGTTGGCCACTGGACATTCTCTCAGTGCCACCGTACGGCTGAAAGCGACACTGACCCTTCCCCTTAATAAAGATGATGTTGCTCATGCCCTTCCTTTTTAACATGCTGCTGCTGCTGCTGCCCACAGCCCACGACCTGCGGGGCTAGTCCAGTACCTCCCAGACACCAGTGGTTTTTGTAGCACACAACTATTTATTCAGAATGGAAAAAAGAAATATACAAAGTCACCTCAGTGGGAAACGAGACAAAAATAGCCACAGACAAGTGAAGAGAGATTTAAACCTTTCCCCTTACACACACGTTGTTACCACCACATGTATTGCCTTGTCTAAAGCACCAGATCCAAACTAAGTGCAGATGGCAGACCTTCCTCGTAAGACCCTTGTGTTTATTGGAGAGCCTGTGCAGCGGAGCTTGCAACAGCCACTTACCCGACCGCTCGTTTCCAGTGAAGCCAGGTTCTTCCTGCCTCAAAGCAGTTGCTGATGAAGCCGAGGGTGGCGTCTTCTCCTCGGCCGCAGCCCCTCCTGCTTGTTTCCTGGCTCAGCCAGACGCTGTCCTGGTCCCTAGCGGGGGAATCCAGCTCTAGCTTCCCGCAGGCTGCGAAAGGGCTCTCAAGATCTTGCACTCACTGACCTTGCCGGTTAGGTTACAGGGCACAAACTTTGCTCTCGGCACATTGTAGCTACAGGGCTCCGTCGGGGTCAGTTGCTAGATGCTGGTTCCTCCTTCTTCTCTAAGCAGTTATTTGTCTGGAAAAGACACAGCAGGAGTGAGACAGCAGGACCAGCCCCGCTCATGCGCCACAGGCCCTGAGAGGTGCCCAAAAAGCACCCTCCAAGCAGGAAACTGCAGTAAGCCGATAGAGACAGGCACACAGCACACACCTGAGGTTCGCCCTTCAATCACATCCCTAAGAATAAAGCGCTTTTCTTTTTCCGGGGGGGGGGAGATACCTTCTCAATGATCCGCTGGATCTCCAGCTGCAGTGGAACCAGGCGCTTTTTGTTCTCCTGCAGCAGTCTTTGGAAGTTGGCTTTCTGCCTCTCTGCCAGTTTCACCTGCTCCTCCATCTCAGCCAGCTGCTTCTGCAGCTCCTGCAGCTCGGAGGCCAGCCCCTTGTTGGCTGACTCTGTCGTGGAGAAACGGAGCTGGGCTTCCTCTGGGGGCAGAGAACAAAAGCAGCTCTGTCACTCCCTGGGGGGAGGCTGGAAGTGACTGACACATCCCCCTCCCGCAGCAGCACACTGGCTCACCCAGCTTGACCTCCAGGGTGTGGATTTTGCTCTCCAGGTACAGGCGGCCATTCTCCGTCTGCTCTGCCTTCTCCAGCAGCTTGCCCACGTTGAGGACAGTCCCGTTGTGGGAGATCAGCTCCCCCTGCGCCACGGCTGCCTTGGGCTGGGCAGACGCTGCCTCCAGGGAGTTTGCTGAGGCAGGCAGCAGAGCAAGGTTCCCTGAAACAAAAGCCACCAACACGGGTGAGTTCCCCCTCTCTACACCCGTCACCACGGAGCACCGGCATCCAACACCTACCCAGGAGCCCCTCAGGCGCAGGGTCGGCACTGGCAGGGTCCAGGCTGTCCTGGCGGCTGTAGTGCAGGCTCCGGTACTGGCACACCCACTGAGTCACCACTCTGTTCACAAGCTGCTTCACCTGTTCTCGAGAGCAGAGGAGTTTGGGTAGCACACGCTGCCCCCGACACCAAGGGAGGCTGCAACGCCCCTCAGAGCGCATCCCCCCCCCCCACCTCTGTGTGTGCGCACCTGCTCCTTGCAGAGGTGCAGTCCCAGTGTCAGGAGGATCTTCTCCAGGTCTCTCCGGTGCAGGTAGCCACAGAAATTCAAATCGAAGTAGGTGAAGGCCAGGAGGGCATCCAGAGGCAGCACAGCGCTGGGGTCCAGCTCCTTGGGCTGCTGAGGAACAAGACAGACACGGGTAGGGACCGGCCCTGAAACCCAAACTCACGGGGCTGGGTCAGGCCCCTGCCGCCCTCCTCCCTCCCCCGCAGGCTTACTGACCATGTCGTGGAGCGAAGAGAACTCCATCTCCGACTGGTTGGACGCAATGGATCTCACCTCAGCATCTTCTAACTTGACCCCTGCAGGGCACACAGGCAAGCTGGCTAGAGGCCTATGGGTCCATTCTGTACGCATCCCCCCACCCCCCTCCCGGCCGGCGTGCCACTTACCGAAGTCCTCCTCCTCGTCGTCCCGCAGCAGCAGCAGGTCGTCCTCCAGGCTCAGCATGCACAGCTCGTCCGTCGAGTCTTTGGGCTCCGCCTTGCAGTCCCCCTTGGCCTTCTCGTCCTCCTTGGCCCCCTTGGCGCCGTCGCTGCATTCAGGCTTCTGCTCGGCCTCTGCGCTCTCAGGCACCGGCGCCGCCTCCTGCTGAGTCTGGGCACAGGCAGGCGAGAGTCAGCACCACTCGGCAGCCTCAGCTGCCAACGAGCCCAGGGATCAGCTCAGGCTCTGACCCTGAGCAAGCAGCTGCTTAGGCAGGGGAGGCAGCATACGCATGTCAGGGGACACACCGGCACGGGCTCCTGCTCGCTAGCAGCTTCCTCCTCGGCCTTGAGGGTCTCCTGGGCCTCTTCCTTCAGCCCTTTCTCTTCGCCCGGCTCTGGCTCGGCTGCCTGCTTTGCCTCTGCAGGCTCTTCCTTCTCCGGCAGAGCCAGCAGAGCCCTGTACAGCTTGTAGCCAAAATCCCGCTGCAGCATCTCTTGGAAGAGCTCCGCCGCCACCGCCACCTTGGGGAGCGAGAATCGTACGTTGGGAGCTCCGCATCTGCACGAGCAACTCCCACAGGAACCCCCCCAGCACACAGCATGCCTCTGGAGTGCACTGGGCCCTTCCCACGGGAGCCCTACCTCAAACGAGAGCTTCTCCCTCTGTCTCCTGTACTCCAGCAGGGTCCAGAGCGAGAGGTTGGAGCAGCTTGGCTGCCCGCCATGCGTTGCTGGTCTGGGGTGGGCAACGATAGCCGGCTCCATGGGGGGAGATGGAGCTTCCGGTTCGGGAGCTGGAGTTTCCGGTTCGGGAGCTGGCTCAGCAGCAGCCTCTGTGGCATTCGCTTCCTGTGCATTGGCCTCCATTTCCTGTTCAGGGGCTGCTTCTGGGACCTCCACTTCCTGTTTAAAAGCATGACAGGTTTTTAACCAAGCAGTGGGACTTTTCCATCACTGCTCTTGGCTTCCCATGCTCACCATCTCAGCTTTCTCCTCAGGGAAGGAGGGCAGCAGAGGGGCCTTCTCGGCTTTCTGTTGGCACAGGGCCTCCCACTCCTCCAGAGACGGCATGCAGCTCCAGACGTCCGGCAGGAAGATCACCACAGTCTCCCTCTGCGACGGGTCGCCCTGGCGCAGATACCTGAACTCAGCAAAACGGAACCTGGAGCGCAGGAGGGAGATGCGAGAGTCAGGCTTTGGGGTTTTCCTTCCACCCAAGCCTCTTGCCTTTGCTCTTGGGTCCATCCCCCCCCCCCGCTAAAGACA